CATGGTACGAATGTAAGCCCTCATTGACATTATGGCGTCGAAATACAACGTTTGGCGGAAGGTGTGCTGTTATCTGCGACGAGACATCGATTGCATCCACATGCAGATTGTCGTATTCGGCCACCATGTCAAGTGCCCTTTGAAAGAACGTGAGTACGACTCCCTCGTATATTTTTGTAGTCGCTCACCATTGACCCGAGCCGCAGCCTATCGAAAGTTTAATAAGCGCTCCATAACGGTCGAAGTGGCGACTTACCAATATCCAAAACGGCTTTTGGGACGCCGGGATCTCTGGTGAGAGCGCCATCGACCATGGTCCTAAGACCTGGTAATCCCCACAATCCTAGTCGTAGGGCTGCATGTTGCTTGTCCCTACAAGGAATCAGTTACCAGCCAATAGGAGCCAAACGAGGGACGCACAGGCGTGTGAACTCTTCTTGGTCTGATAAAAATCCAGAAAATGCATATTAGCGACATATGATGGGTTTGAATGGATCCTTACCGAGCGGCAGTGGATAAAGAGGGTTTTGCGCACTAAAAAGCCTGGAGGAACCTTCGATCCTTCTCAGTTCGGGCAAAATTTCGGACAAAAAGGTGTCCGAAACGCAGGAATCCGAGTTGGAAATGGCTTCATAAATCTCGGAATAGTCATCGTCAGAGTCAAAGTTGAATGCTTCCTGGTCCGCTCTGGGGACAGCGAGATCGGGCGATCCTGGGCTGGAGCATGTTCCCTGGCTAGACATCGACGGCAAGGTGTAGGAGACAAAATACATGTAAGGGAGATGTGTCAGGAATGGTGGTCGTTTTTGACCAAATCCCTGACTTGAACTCGCGTGCCCCCCGTGTGGTTGAGATCAAGTCGCAGGAGTGCCCGTGTCTGTGCACCAGAAGCCACAGGGCTCGTCGAACACGCTGTTCTAAATTATCCAAAATCTAAACTTAAAAAGGTAATCAGACGAGCTCCTCTTTTTCTCACTGGAACAATGGGCTTTAAGTTTATTTAACCGATGGCTGCGTTTTCTACGTTGTTTAAAAGATCCGGGCGTCCTCCTGACCAGAGTGTGCTCGCCACACCCGAGGTTAAAAAAAAAGCAATTATTATACTCATGGGTATGCTCTACTCGATACAACCGCGTTAACTGGTGTTTTAGTGTAGCTAGTTTGTAGTCCAGTCTCTGGTGCATGCAGGCGTTCATTTCGGTATCTTGAACATAGGGCCCAAAAAGAGGGCCATTGTTTTGTTCCCGCCCAGGTCCCAGGGTGATTTTAAAAGGATAGACATCTGTATGAAAAAGACGCACAAAATAATTACGGCTCATCCCCCGAGCCACGGGTCGAGCCGCGGTCCGACTCGCTGTCGTTTTGCTCGGGAGGAGGTGTGGCGGCCTGCTGATTTACGACAGCGGGAACAGTCAAGGTTTCGGTGTCCTCTTCCCTCTTCTTTTTCTCCTCAGCGGCTTTCATAGCCAGTTCTCGCTCCTTCCGTGTCTTGCGCTCCTTTTCAACCCAAGCAGGAACTTCTTTGATCACTTGCGAAGGGCGGTTCTTGAAGTTGAGGAGTAAACCTTGAATGCTAGCCTTGGCTACAGGTCAGGGACAGCGGTTATGAGAGACACAAACGCTTACTCGTGACCCAAGGGGAGATTGGTGTGAAAATACAGCCTGCTCCACCGGTGTTCTCTTCAAAGCATCCAAGTTGCCATAGGCCTTTGTCCAATGTTTCGGGACAATCATCCGAGTCTGTAATCTTACATCTTCTGACTTGGGCCATCCGAACAGCTAAGGAGACTAAGACTTGGAGCTCTGTCAAGGAGAACAATCTTAGGCTCACCTTGCATCCAACGTTGTAGCGAAGAGCCATTAGGGTTTTCGTCACTGGCGGGAGCTTGAAGACCTCTTTGGTCTTCTCTCCACAAGTCGAAATCGCCTTCCATGAAAATAGCGACACCACCTGGTTTGAGGCATTTTGAGGCATCATGGAGCAGCCCACGGTACGACGTGATTCCGGAACCCACACAACGAACGTGGACGACGTCATACTGGCCATGGTACGAATGTAAGCCCTCATTGACATTATGGCGTCGAAATACAACGTTTGGCGGAAGGTGTGCTGTTATCTGC